CCTCACAATCTGTAAAGCTTAAGTCCACTGCTGCTGCCCCTGATTCAATCTAACTCATCTGGTGTCTTCCTCCTTTTTGTTGATCCTCCATTTTACCAAGCAAAATGTCCTTCTCCAGGGATGGGTCCTCCCTAATATGTTGGAAGTAGGAGACATCAAGTCTTGGCATAGTGGTTTCAAAGAGCATTATAGCAGTCTCTTCCAACACAGAATTGTTTGTTCTTCTAACAGACCATGATAGTCTTTTAATATTCTTCTCGATCACCATGACTTAAATGCATCAGTTCTTCTCCTGTTTCTCCTTAAACATTGTCCAACTTTCACATGCATATGAAGTTACTAAAAATACCACAGCTGGTGTCAGGCACACACCTAAGTCCTCAAACCAACATCTCTGTTCACATTTCTTTAAAGATATGTTGTGCAGCTGACTTGTCTAACGCGATGTGTCATTTCATTTCTTGACTGCTGTTTCCATGAATCTTGTTAGTGGATCCAAACAAAATTAACCCTCCAGGCTTGGAAACTCTACAGGGTGGTTCTACTCTGTTCTGCAGTGGTCACTAAGATTCCAAATTAATGCAAAAGCAAAGGGGTTAATCATTATAGGAAATGGATATAGAGATAATTTGGTTATGATATGCCTTGGGGATTTTCCTTTGGGATCTGTCCTTTCTGGGGTTCCTCCAGCTCCTTGAATATTTATCTTCTTGTTTTTCAGGATGTTAGGAAAATTTTCTGCCATCAGGTCTGTGACTTTCTCCTGTGTGGTTTTCTCTTACCTTAAAATTCTTGGATTCCTATCACCCATAGGTTATTCCTCTTCTTGTTGTTCCACACAAATCGTAGACTTTCTTCAAGTGATTTCATTGTTTTTCCTGCTTACTCTTCTATATTAAAAGTTTTGAGAGATTTGTCTTCAAGCTCACAGGTTCAGGTTTCCCTCCCTTCAATTCTAATACTTTGTCCTTTCAGCATATTGTCCATTTCTCATATTTTGGTATTAATCATTTGGGCCTCTTTAGCAGGTTTTGAATTGTTTCCAGTGTTATTTCTATCCTATTTGATTGTTCCTATAGCACTTTTCTGACATCTTCCTTAGTTTCCTCAGCTTTCTGTGGAACATTTGGATGCACCATAGTATCATTGTCCTGAATTCCTAATTGGGCACTTCCAAAGCCTGCACTCCTTCAAGTACAAATTCAAAGTCTGCCCTCAGCTCATTTTTATGAGCTACTCTGTCTACTTTCTAGACATGAAGAGAATTTTTTTGTTGCTTTCTAGATGTTGTGGTGCTGTTGCATTTTCAATAATTAGATGACTGTATGCTGGTGTCTTCTTAAGCTCTCTGATTGCCTCCTGGTGGATGTAATCAGGAGATAAACTTCTTTTTTCATTTCTCTTACTATTCAATGCACAGTGGTTTTAGCAGGTGTTGATTATTTACACAATTTTGATATTATAGCAGCTGGTATAGGTTTTTCCCCAGATTGTGGGATTTTTTAAGAAAACATAAAAGAAGTAATAGTACAGATAACAGGACCCCGATACAAGAGTAAGAAACTCCACACAAGAGGTCTCCAAAAGAAAAATAAAACTGAAATAAAAATTTAATAAGTAGAAATGACAGTGTGTGAGTGAATAAACAGTAACATATCTTCATGAAAACTTCAGACTAGTAGGAAGATGAAAAACAATTTTTGATGCATGCTGAGTACCTCTCCCTTCATCACTGTACTGAAGAAGCAGCATTATTTTCACATTGGGATCTTGGCACGTGGCTGTAGCCAGGCTTGGACTAATATGCTGTTTGACTAGTTGCATCAACAAACTTAATCTCAATAGTTGGACTTTTGAATAGCAATTTGAATATTATGAAAGGTATTTCTAATATGAGAAAATTGTAGAATTCATTTGGTTATAAAAGTTTTTGATTTCTACAGGGGTAAAAGACTGGTGCATTCTTGGCCCACTTTCACAAGTCAACACAGAAAGTGTATACATTTCCCAAAGCAAAGACAAGACTTGAGGCTTGTGCGTATAAGCCAATAGCATAAATTCATGACCACAGCATCTTAACTCTCCAGCTTGTTTTTAAATGGTAGTAGCTTTTCTTGTCAAATAAACAAAGAAGAATCCCAGGACACACATTTAGAGTACTGGGACAATGCCATGGTCTCTTCTGAAGATAATAAATAGCCCTCCTCCTGAGTTAGGGTTCTGCCTTACTATTTTTGTTAAGCACCATTGAGTCAGTTCCAACTCATATCAACCCTGTATTGGGTTGGGAGGAATAGCTAGTGAGTTTCAGTCACCAACCTTGTGGCTCAACCCGGCCTACTGTTGCAGTGCTTTATCCCACGGGACAACAATAGGACACAGGGACTTCCTTAACCCTTGACATAACCAAATAAACCTTTACCATAGGACATCAAGCAGCCATGCGATGTCCTCGTCCCTTTATGACTGAGTTGTGTCTGATCCACCAAGTCATAAATTTATGGATATCAGCATCTCATCATCAGGTAGAAATAGAAATACAAGCTGAAAGCTGAATGTGTCCTGGTGGTAGATATAATTCTTCCTGTATAAATCTGCCCAT